GGGAAGCCGAGCTGGCCGCCCGCGCCCGGGGGGCTGCCGGCGCGCCGCGTCAGGTCCACTACCTCGCTCCGGCCGTGCTCCGCGGGCGCCAGGCTCAGGGCCTGGCCCGAGCAGCCGGGTGGCGAGTCCGCGGACTTGGACGAGCCCTGCTTGGAGTCCCGGGGGGACAGGGAGTGTCCGCCTGGCTTGCCTCCTGCCGCCGAGGAGTCGCCGGGGGCGCTCGGAATGAAGTTCTCCCCGTTGCTGGAAAATCCGTTGGGGGGCTTGGAATCATTGACGTGAGGGATGGGAATAGGGATGGGGATGGGCACGGGCAGGGGCACGATCACCGGGTATGGCACGAGCAAGGTAGGGGGCGGCACCAGCGGGGCGAGCGACGGCAGCCCGAAATTCATCATCTGGGGCACGGGCATCGGGCCATTTGGCATCATGCTCACGGGCGGGAAGGGGAGACTCGGCAAAGGCGCGCCCGGAGGCGGCGGGGGCAGCAGGCCCGGGGGGTTCCCAGGCATGGTCGGGGTGCTCGGGGGATGGAGGTGGGGCGAGAGCATGGGCCGGTGCATGGGACTGGAAGCGGGGCCCAGGTTCCTGGGGCCGCCCGGAGGGGGCCCGATGCCGGGGAGCATGGGGTTGGACAGAGGGCTGTTGGGGTTGGAGGCGTGGTGTGGCGGCCCGCGAATGAAGGGCGGGCGGATCTGTTGCATGATCTGTTGTTCCATGAAGATGGGCAGCGGGACCGGGCCGCGGTTGGTCATCACCATGGGGGGGCTGCGAGGCGGGACTCCGAGGGGAGGCCCAATGCTAGCAGGTGGCTGGACGGAGACAGGAGGGATGTTTGGAGTCTCGCTGATCGGCATGGACTTGGGCACTGGCGTGGGGATTTTAGTGACAGAGCAGTTGGCAGTGTCAGATGGAGAGACGGTGGTGGACGCCGATGGGCCAGGACCCTGGCTTTGGCCAGCTGCAGCCACTGGGGAGGGGGCCTTCCTCCGAGCGTCTGTTAGAGAGATATTCCAAGAGTCTGGAGTGAGCAGCTGCACCCCGGTGCCTTCTGCTTTATTTTCCATGGGAGGGTGTAATGTGCTGCACAGCCCAGCTGGAAGATTGGCCTGGGTCTCTTTGTAGAAAATGTCCATTTTGTATTGATTGAGACATTTTGCACTGCAGAACTGAAGCCTTCTTTCCCCATCCCCAAAATCCAGGTATTCTTTTGTGTGTCTTATGTGCTTACACCAGTCACATACCTACAACACAGTAATAAAAAGATAAATAAAAAGTAAGATAAGCAATTTCCTTTGGTAGATGGCATTTCAGGTTTCACATAAAGGTTCTTTCAAACTTTATCACAATTTTTCGAACAGGCTGAAGTGCTTCCTTCTCAAAGGTAAAATTCTGAAGTGTTTGTAAAATAATTTCTCCTGGGAAGCCAGAATTGCTTTACAAATATTAACTCTTCAGAATAGCAATTATCACCATCGCCTATTAAAAAAAAAAAAAAAAGAAAGAACTCTGTTGTCCCCTTTATGCATGACTTTAAGGTGGATCTGACAAAAAGGAATACATATATACCTGCCCACACATTTTCACTTGTCAAAGAGGCTCATTGTAAATGCAAATCTAAATAGTTTTGGAGAGAAGGATTCTCCAGGAAGTTCAATGGGTTTTGAAATATAACCCCTTAAAATTCTCCTCATGCAAAGTCACTTTACACTATTGACTGTGTTCAATAATGCAGTTGGAAAGGGGTGTGCTGTGTTAACCAATAGCATGAAGCACTGAACATCATTATGTCTGCCTTCCAAAGGGAAACTTGGAATTAGTCATGAAGTCTGTGTGAGGTTTAGCTATTCCCAACCTGTGATGTTGCAGCAAGCTAGAATTATTTTTTGAGCTGTTTGCCCACTCTCTCTCAGTAGTCAGAATTTTTGGTGACATTTCTTGGCAGGCGGTCTTATTTAACAACTTTTCAAACACTAGAGAACGTTTTCCAAAAGTTGTTATGGCTTTTTCCCCCCTTCAAATCTACTCCTGGCAAAGGAAAGACATCACCAAATTTATTTTAAAGTTGGGCTGCAGAACTAATTAAAGGCTGAGAGCTTTTCCCAATTGGAAATCATTAGACATCAAAGTTCAAAAAATAGTCATTCTCAGCTTCAGAACCCATTACTTTGGAGAAATTATTGTGATTTCATTAACACATTAATTTTGCAACACCATCAGCTCTCACAGATGGTGAAGACATGATCTACAATTCAAATATGACTCTTGTTTGCACAAATGTCTTTCCTTCATATGGCATTTTAAACAAGAATTAATATGAGTAATCTTGCCATAGCTATAAACAGATAAACAGATGTCAAAATTTTCAATAGTTTTTTCAGTGCCTTACTTTTTTGACTGAACATTACACACACAATCTTTTTTTCTTTTTCTTTTTTTCTTTTTTTTGGTCATTTCCTCAGCATTCAACCCATACAGCAGCAGAGGAGGAATTCTGAAATGCAATGCAATGGTGAGTTTATTGAATTCGAGTCTCTCCTCAGTAAAGCACTGGTTCCAGTATTGCTCTAAATGGAATCCTGTTTTTGTTGAGGAGGGTATCTGTTGTTCTGTTGTTGGTGTGTGTTGTTGTTGTTTTAACTTTGGTACACCACTGATAGTATTAAAAGATGATAAATTTTAATAACGATTGGTCACATAAACAATGCAAAAACAACATATGCTGGGCATTTGATTACTCATCTCATTTAACTCTCAGCTTTCCTTGACTGTAAACAGTGGTGGCATGCCGGTATGTGATTGTGGGTGCACACACTCGTGGCAGATATGGGTCTGTATGGGTAAATCCACTCTTTTCCTTCTTGCTTTTTTTTTCCTGCTGATATTCACAGGTAATATACTTGATGGTGTGAAGTTGAATAACTGGCACACATTAGTTTTTCGTTTGGTCTCATATCAAATTGCCCTTTCAAAATACTTGTTGCAAAAAAAAAAAAAAATTTCAATGCTAATATCTTCCTGTGTTTCACCACAGTTTTTTATCATAGTTGCGATGTCCAGTTTACAGATAAGTACAGAACTGCCTCTGATGAGAAGAGACACAGAATCCATCAGATCCTCAAAATTCTCATCTAAAAAAGATTAAATCAACTGGTAGTGAAAGCTTGATGCATGTAAGTTATTATTTTTAAAACCTGATCATTTTTATAAAGTTAATTTATAATGATGTGACATTTAAATTCCAATATGAAATAAAGCCACCTAATTCTGTTTCAATATTAGACATCCATAGAAAGACTAAAATGTAAATTTATAAGATTGAAGTGAAGGATCAAATAGAGCTTTTTTTAATCATGAACTAAAACACATTATCAATGAATTAAACTAATTAAAATAATATACCAAACTTTCTGGCATATTTCTTTTGGATCTTATTTTTTAACCATAAGGGGAAAGAGTTTTCTGAAATCCTTAATTGGTTTTTAAATTGCCAGATTGAATTATTTGCCTCCAGAGGATTCCTCTGTTTCCTCAAGCTAAATAAATATTTTCAAGTGAAATCACAAAAAATAATCTAAATATAACTTAAATGTGCTCCCTTCACTTCCTCCACTTTCAATAACTCATTGATGAATAAGGAATGCGCATAGATCTATCCCAATTATCAAATGAGAATTCCCCACCATATTTTATCTATTTCCACATAAAAAGAATTACAGACATCAAAGTTTGAAGCAAATTCTATTTCATCAAACTTTCCAGTTAAAGCAAAGGCCTAATGGTTAGCTACTTGATTTTCTGCAACATCCTAGTGTTTAGGTAATAGTGTGACTGTTTATGACTATCTCATTTTGGGTAACGTGAGTGTGAATGTGTGTGTATCCTTGCCTTGTTAACATTTCAATTCAGAACGCTGATGTAAAAATACAGAAAAGCAATCTCTCTGATGAAGCAAAAAATTATTAGAGAAAAAAATGGTCACTTAAGAAATAATGAATCAAGTCTGTCTTACAGGACACATCATTGAAGATGAGGTCAATGAATTTATGGCACAAATGGCTATATCATGTGAGACAATAAAACGCAGTGCCATCATTCATTCTACAGCTAACTAACAACACACTTCTAGTAATTAAAGATTTCATCATAAGAGCCTGAGCTGATTACTTAAGATGTGGTAGTTAGGTGAAAATATATACTGTAGATCTCTCTCTTTAATAAAATAACATTTGCATATCCAAGAAATACACAGCATGTGTCTCATAAACTATGGTTTTCTGAATTGTGGTGTTATGGGGTAATCTTCTCTTTCCACAGACGGTTTTATTTTTTTTTTTTTTTTTTTTTTACTTTTTGATGCTTTTTTTTTTCCTCATTGTGCCAAGTAGTACTAAAATTCCTCCAGATATTTTAAAAGATAAAGATTAAGAAGTGCAGAGCCCAACTCACTGGGCTCTGGAACGATTTCCCCCTAATTCCACCCCAGCTTTGTTTCTGTTGGAATCTGGCCTCTTTGGTTCCAGTTCCCTCCCTAACAGGTCCCAGATTGGACAGGGCTGAGGCTGAAGCTGTTTAACGATGGCAATCTGGGGACCGAACAATCAGCTAATGCAATGCCATTGAGCGAGACAGCTGAAATGCTTCGCATCACAAATACATAATGTATCACCAGGAAGACAAAGAGATCACAAAGGAGATAAACAAATGCATGTTCCATTCAACCCTCTCACAGCAGTCCTCAAAAAGATTAAATTTACCTTCCTGGGATGTGTCCAATTCTAAACAACAGAATGAACATTTCCTTTAGTCCATTTAGAGTATTTATATTTTGGTGGCTGACTGCCAGAGTAGTACTTATAAGCTCCGTGGCCTGATGGATTCACTCCTTTCCTGTGAAATAAATGTGTGGCAACCTACACCGCTGAACTGCTCAAAAGATACTGCCTCAGCAGAAATATCACTTGCTCTTGATATAAGAAAACCAAAAGGCAAGACTTCTGGTTCCTATAACTCTTTCCATCTTGTATTTCCCCTGGAAAGAAAGGAAGCTATTCATGTTGATAACTAAGCCTTTATTTTTATATAAATGTCCAAAGTCAAAGCCAAAGCATGCCATGAGGTTACCCACATGGGCACAAGACATACATTCTGCTGGGCTTAAGAGAAGATTCAGGTCACTGGGGGTAGGGGTGATGGGGTTCCTAATTAACACATTAATCAGCTATCGGCTGTGGGAGTGAAGTTCATCCTTTAATGGAACCCACCGCTGCCTTCTGAGTGGTAATCTGGCATCAGGCAATATTTAATTAAGAAACCTTTTTGCTGAAATCTTTCTTATCTGGGCAAAGACATTTGCAGCAATGGAACAGTAAAAGGATATTTTCAATCGCTTGAATGCCATCAACAATTTGAAAAACAAAACAAAATCTTCACGTGCTCCTGACTTTCCATGAATATAGCACCAAGGTAACAGCTCAGAAGTTATAGCTCCTTAGGCAAAATTGTAGCTTGCCGTAAGAGGCTGGTTCTCTAGGCCTTGGCTTGTTAAATGTGGCATTGATCCTGCCAGCCACTGATCGTGAGTCCAGTCCAGCTCAAAAAAATCATGAGCTCACCCAAGAGTGAAGCAAAGGACGAGGAAGAGACAGGGGTGGAGGTGTTCAGTGTTTTGAAGGGTCTGGGGTCTGCTCTACCTGTAGACAGTCACCTCATAGCATGAGTTGAGGGCCTCAGGCTGACCCCATCTGAACACTTGCTTCCAGCCCAACCCTGGAATCCCATGGTCCCATCATCAGCTGTTCCTTGGGGTTTAGACACTGCCTCCACCAGGGCCCTAGTTCAGTGCACATGGGTGGCAAAGATGCTGCAGAAATCACGTGGGATTTGGAATCAGAAGATGTGGGTTTGAATCTGGGCTCCATTACTTACTAGCAGTGCAACCTGATGGAAATCTCAGTTTCAATTTCTTCATCTGTGAAATGGAGCTAATAGTAGTAACAACACTTGTGTGCCAGGCATATCACTAAGCTTGTGACATAGTGTAGTTTTTCAGTCCCTAGCCTGCCTCCCTCATGGTTGCTGATGTCCCAGGAACATCCCATATGTTTCAGTTCATTTTAACTTAATGGAAGGATGTTTCTACGACAGTGTGAGGAGAGAAAGGGAAATTTTCGTCCACAGTTTTCCTTTGAGCCTGTGTGTCTTTGAGATAGAATGGGGCATGTTTCTCTCTGAGCAAATGCCT